AATAAAGTGATTTTAGAATTTTAATTTCAAGACTTTTTTCAAAACCTAAAGTAGTACAATAGATTGGATTGGTACCCACTTATCCATATCTACTCTCATCACCACCCTACAAAGCCAGATTTGAGAGAGAGAGGAAGAACCAACTCAGATCGCAACGGTGGTGGTTGACAGAAGGCCCGCGGCTGGCAATCTGTAACTGGGGGACCAGATCTGTGACTCCAGAAGTAAAGCACGCGGATCTGCATTAGGCGATTGCGCGAAGATCGTAAAAGAAGGCAGATCGGTGTGTGACCAGCTCTGAGCGCGGTGCATCTGTCCAGAGAAGAACTAGCTGCGGTGGCCAGATTTGCGCGGAAGTCCTTGCACGAACAGATCAGTTCGTCCGATCTCCCTGCATTAATAGATCAGACAACAACGATTGACAGAGAAGAACCATTTTTTTGGCTCTGCGTGGAGCAGAAAAAATTTGTCTGGAGAAGGTGTGTCGAGTCGAGCCGCTCTTCCTCTAAGCCGAGCCTAAGCCGAGTTGAGTCATTCGTGCTTGAGCCAATTCGAGAGGAACCGCTCCCCCTATGAGCTAAGCCTAAGTCGAGTCATCTGCACCTGAGCCGATGCGAGCTGAGCCTAAGTCGAGTCGAGTTGAGTCATCCGTGTCTGAGCCGATACAAGTCGAGCTTGTGCCAAGTCGAGCTTTAGTCGAGCTTAAATCGAGCTTGAGTCGAGCTAAGCTGCTGCCTGAGCTGAGCCACTTCCTTGCCAGACATATCTACTTCTTTTGCACACGAATCGCTTTGACCAGCCTTTTCTAGTTCTTGTTCTGGTCCCTCTGAACGTGACCGCTTTTGATTTTGCGATCGGGCTTTCTTCTCGCATGAGCTGCTTCATTCAGCCTTTTCTAGTCCTTTTTCTAGCTCCTCCACGCGCATCCGCCTTTAGTTTCGCGATCCCGCGTAGATCCGCTTCCTCTGCTCGCGAGTCACTCCGACTAGTTTTTCTAGTCCTTTTTCTAACTCCTCCGCGTGTGTACGCCCGGTATCATATAATTAGTTAAAGTTAATTATTTTATTATTTTAGTTTATTAATTAGTTAAGATGATATAATTAGAATTTTATGAGAATAGTAATCCAATATAATTAAAATTTTACTAAATAAGAATTTTCTTATTAGTAAATTAAGAATTTTATAAATACCCCAAGTGTAACAACATAAACAGTGAGAAATAAAATTTATATTTTTTCTTTAAAATCAACATGGTATTAGAGCCAAATGAAGGTATTTTAGGATTTTAATTTTACAAATCCTAAAATAGCACAATAGGCTGGGTTGATACTCACTTATTCTGATATACTCTCATTACCACCCTAGGAAACCAAATATGAGAAAGAGAGAGAGAGAGTAAGAACTAGTTCAGAGCGCACGTCTGCTTTGGTTTTGAGATCTAGTGTAGATCCGCTTCCTCCGTGCACTAGCCATTTTGATAAGTATTTTTTGGTCCTTTTTCTAGCTCCTCTGCGCGGGTATGCTTGGTATGATATAATTAGTTAAGTTAATTATTTTATTAGTTAATTATTTTAATTTACTATTTAATTAATTAAAATGATATAATTAAAATTTTATAAGAATATTAATCTTATATAATTAGAATTCTATTATAATAAGAATTTTTTTATCAATAAGAAAATTTTTATTATAGTAAAATTTTAATTATACGAGATTAATATTCTTATAAAATTCTAACTGTATCATTTTAACTAATTAAATAATAAACTAAAATAATTAAATAACAAAATAATTATATCATTAGAATTCTACTATAATTAGAAATAAAATTTATATTTTTTCTTCAAAATCAATATAGTATTAGAGTCAAGTAAATTATTTTAGAATTCTAATTTTAAAATTTTTTTCAAACCCTAAAATAGCACAATAGGTTGGGTTGGTTCTCATTTATCCAAATATACTCTCATCACCATCTTGGAAAGTCATATTTGAGAGAGAGAGAGTAAGAACCAGCTCAGATCGCAGCGGTTGGTAGAAGACGGCAGTAGCTGGTGATATGTAAGTTGACGACCAGATCTGCGACACCAAAAGGAAAGCACGCGAATCTGCATCAGACGACTGTGCGAAGGCTGCAGAAGAAGGCAGATCGGTGCACGACCAGCTCTGAGCATGACGCATCTTTCTCGAGAAGAAGAGCTAGCCGCGATGGCCGGATTTGCGTGGAAGTCCTTTCACGAACAAATCAGTTTATGCGATCTCTCTGTACGAACAGATCAGACGATAGCGGTTAATAGACAAGAATCGTTTTTTGGCTTTGCATGTGGCAGAAAAAAACTAGATCTGTCCGGGGAAGATGCACTGGGTTGAGCTGCTCTTCCTCTAAGTTGAGCCTAAGTCGAGTCGAGTCATCCGCGTGTGAGCTGATACGAGCTGAGCTTGAGCTGAGTCGAGCTTGAGCCGAGGCTGAGCTGAGCCGAGTTTCCACCTGAGCCAAGTCGAGCTGAACTGCTGCGTTGAGCCGAGCTAAGCTAAGCCGAGCTGAGCTGATGCCTTTCCAGATAGATTTGTTCCCTTTACTTGTGAGTCGTTCCTACCAACCTTTTTTAGTCATT